AAGTTCCGCAGTTTGTTTTCCTTGTTCGACAGATGACACGCACGTTGAGTTGAATAGGGATCCTGTCATAACCGGTTCTTATCTTTCTTTGACACATTTTGGTTGTCGACTTTTGACGGAACATGGTGTCATCAGGTTGCAAAGCAGGCGGTGTCATCACCATACTTGTTGTAATAGCTGCATATTTGTTCAAGCGTCAAGCAGACGAAGCATTGCGAGAGCGGGTACATCAAGTGTTGTCCGGGTTACTGCGGGCCGAAAGAAAGGTTCCGCATCCAAAGTTTCGGGTCGCAATCGGATTTGGAGGATGTCAAGATTTAGTTGCTGATGGCCTAGAATTGTTGGACAAAATGCACATTGGTCCACCAGACAACCCAACCCATTTCCATTCGGTTGACAAACACAACGGAACTTGCACAGTTGATGGGGTTCTTCTTCAGGCACGGGGCTGCTGCAGAGTAAGTACTCTTTTCGTTTTATCAGACTCATTACATAATTTTACGCTTCAACAATTGCGTTTATCAGCTTGCATTCAGCCACTCCTTGATTGAAGCATGTGAAATGTTGGCAACAGTTCTAGTTTCACTGGGGCGGTGGGGTAGCCTAATGGTTAAAGCGTTGGCTCGTCACGCCGAAGACCCAGTTCGAATCCTCACATGGGTACAATGTGTGAAGCCCATTTCTGGTGTCCCCGCCGTGATGTTGCTGGAATATTGCTAAAAGCCGCGTGCGAAACCAAACTCAGTCAGTCAGTCTAGTTTCACTGGCATATATCTGGTATTTCCCAAGCGTTCTCTTTGTAATGTCTGGTGTCCAATGCCGTGATATTGTTGGAATATTGCAGAAAGTGGCATACAACCATACTCATATGGGTTAGGTACCCCGATCTCATTAGACAGACACACACGCCCCTTCTTGAGCCATATATTTGACCGATCAAATGCCCGTTACAATCATTAGAGTTAGTGTGGGTTAGGAATGATTAAGATAATTTCCTAATGAAATTAATCAAACATAATTTTGGAAAATCCAGTAATTTTTATAATAGTTGAGTTTTATGGAGAGAGAGGCAACTGTGTCTGGTTACGGTTAACAATTGTGTTATGATCACTTGAGCGACAAGCACTAATTCAGTGTTGTAAACTCCCCAAAATTTCGGCCAGACAACTGGTCTGGTAACTCTCAAAAAGTTACCAGACCGGCTGAAAGTTACCAGTCCAGAATTTTCAGGATTAACAGTGATTTTGAAGCCTATAAAAATCAGTAGGACAAATGTCCTGAGTGGGTGTCTGGCGATAGGCCATTGACCTAAAGCTCTTTTTGACATTTTTAAATCCCAATGGCATCATATAACTAAATTGTTAATGACATTTAATGTTGCAACTTGGATTCTAGATATACAGCAAAATTAAAAGATCTAATCCCACTGTTGATAAATATGAAATTTATTTTTCTAACATTTTCAAATAATACAACTACAACTTAAATAAATTGAGTTTTTAATGAAAATGCAAGCATTTATAATGTCCAGAAATATCACAAAAGAAGCAAAAACTATGACGATTTTTTTCCATTTGTGACTTGTCATAACATCCCCGTGCCTTTTTCTTTTATATTTTCATTTTTACGTAATCAGAAAATTATTAAAAGCCACTGATATCGGGAAATAGGCGACCATACATATTATTTAAGAAATCTTTAAGATTTCTTAAAAATATATGGTATAACCCTATTCCGATATAGATTTCTTAAATAATATGTATGGTCAGCCTATTTCCCGATATCAGTGGCTTTCCACTCAGTAACATGACACAACAACGGAAAATACCTCCGTTTTGCTTCATTATGAATAACTTTCGAGGTGAATCGTTTGATGGCGGTATCGTTCGAAAAGCTCTGAACATCAACAATATCACTATACCCTTGCTGAGAGTATTTTCACAGTTGTAAGAAGCGATTTTATTGGATAAAGATTGGTTTCTAATGGCTGGCTTTTTCGCTTACAGTCTGCTATAAGAGTCGTGATTGGTCAAAATCAGACACGCGTGACATGAGGCAGCCAATCATATTATGGCAATGGATACTGTCCTCGTAAATGTGAAAACTTGTATATTTAGGACGAAAGTTTTGGGTAAAATAATGCTATTCGAACATATTAAGCACAAAATCGCTATGTATCGTAAAATTATGGAACTTAGTGGACGTATCGTGCTAGGTTATGACCTGTGACAAAATGCTTCATGCATATATTTTTCACATTAAACATAGTGTCCAAGCGTGAAGATTGGCGGAAAGCGAGGATGTCACTTGTCAGTGACTTGACTCGCATTGCATGATCGCACAAAAAAGATGGAAATAGTAGTTTTATATGTACGCTTTGACAACTTTTATGAATCAGGGGGGGATACAGCTTTTTGAGAAAGGGGGTGTGCACACTATTGAGAAAAGGAGGGGTGCACACTTCATTTTCACCCGAGTTTCAATGGTCATATAACAAATTTTCAGCACAAAAGAGGGGGTGCGCACCCCTGCACCCCCGCTCTGGATCAGCCTATGTGAATGCTATTGTTTATTTTATTCATTAGTTTATTCAATTTATTTAATGATTTCCTTTGAAACATTGTTACATGCGGTGGGGTCGGAAAGCCCGTTTCTGATTGTCCAATGCTTAAAATAGCAGCCAATCGCGCAATCCATTAGATCTACATGTACATTTGGTAGCTTAGTGTGATAAAAATGGATGCGTAAATACATACACGCCAAGTGAAACATGATCAAGATTCCGTGGTTAGTTTTGATGAATTCGTGAAATGATAATGTTCGTGAATTTATTAGGTCCAATATGTGAAAATAACATCGAAATTATCGATCTGCACAATAACACGCTTTTAAATGTTTTTAGTCATTATATACATTACAAAATTACGCTTGTCGCTGATTCACCAGCCAGACCATCGGGCGTGCAACTTTTAAAACTGACCGTCCGTCGCAAAACAGACCGTCCCGGACGGTCGGGCAGGCGGAGTTTGCAACGCTGACTAATTACTTTGTTAATGCCCATGAAGTGTTGGGAGCTTAGCTTCAGCTGTTAAAGTTTGCCAGTTATGTCTACAAAACCTGAATTATATATTCTAGCACGACATTGTGTGATACTCGATTCTGATTGGCTGAGAGCTCATCAAAACCGTACTTAAATGGCTGTTTAAGACCGCTAATTAAAGTGACCGATTCACAGCGTATATATACAACGAACTTCGTTGGACCCTATTGTTTGTAAACAAACATGTCGGACACCAGCAATTTCTATCTCGGCAGCATCTTTGATGTTTTTTAAGTAAAAGCGAATGGTTTGAAGAAGAATTTCTTGACCCTTATCCCTGTGAAGAAACTCTGAAGCTGGAAAATCTGTCAGAAGTGCAAAAGCGGCAGTATATTCAAACGGGTCCAGATGTGACGTCGACAACACACACGTCGGCCCACACATCCTAACCTGACCGCTTCGCCCGGCTGTAATGCCCAGTCCTTCCACTTCCACTGTCCATGTATCCCACATAAAACGTGGCATATCAGGTCTTTTCCAACTTGGGAATAGTAGGGTGGTTATCAACAATTATTTCGTGAATAAAGTTAAGGCGACTAAACTTAGAGAGTGCACGGCTTAAATTTTGGCTGTCGATTGTCATACAGTAGGGGAGATCAATAATTCGCTTTGAGAAAAATCAAATAATTGTACTTGCTCACATTATAAACTGTATTTTTTATTTATGTATGCTACTTGTTACAAATACCAGCATACTGGTTCCTGAAATAAGGCATTTATGTTGTTGAAAATGTCTTATCTTGTTCATTACACAACCTGTCCCTTAACGGGACGATTCCAAGCAATTTCCAGGAAAAAGGCCCCTTTGCGCCTTGTGTTCTTGCGCCAAACAGTTCGGGTTTTAAAACGCTTATCAGTCGTGCTAGAATGAAGATAAAGCTACTCTGTTTTCAATTTTATGCTCCTTTATCGCTGATTTAAGACCGCTAAATGACTCCTAAAACCTCACGCTGTCGCTACTCGGGTTTTAAATTTCATTTATTAAATTAAAGCATTAAGCATATTCTAGTTATCAAATTTAAATTTATTAAAATTTAAGACCGCTAAATGTTTAATTTAAAACCCTCACGCTGTCGTCGTTAGGGTTTATAAATTACATTTAGTGGTCTTAAATCAACGATAAAGGAACGCAAAATTGAAAACAGAGAAGCTTTATCTTCTAATTATATGTAGGTCAAGTGGAAATATTGTTATCGCTAAGATTTCTTATTCATGTCTATAATTTATTGAAATGTAGAATATAGTTAGTGTACAGGCTAACAGACAAGTTGAAGGTCTGATTCTCTACAGATGATCTTAGATATGTGATCTTATTATCATGGTCTTGTATCTGAAACAAAAAGATGTATCTGACAGACAAGTTGAAGGTGTGATTCTTTACAGATGATCTTAGATACGTGATCTTATTATCATGGTCTTGTATCTGAAACAAAAGATGTATCTGAAAAGATGCAACATTTATCATGTCAGATATGGTCTTAACCATTTCCAATTTCATTTCATTCAAATCAAAAGATAAAAAATTAGTCTGCCATATATCTATGTATGTTTGAGCATTTCTTCTGAAGTTTTATCATGCTTATCAATATCTAGACAGGGTTGTCATTGATGAATCAAAATTGTTTGCCTGGACGCACAGGAGGCCCACTGTTGGACACACCACAAACCTGTGATTGTTGGTCTGAATGATGGTTCACCTCGGTTATGTTTCTATGTCTGTCTGCACCCGTGCTTGAGTGCTTCACCACAGTGATGAACATTTGAGGCTTGCATCGATTTGGGTTTTCTTCCACATTCAACTGATAAGCCGGGTTATAACTGGAATACTGTTTAAAGCAGTGTTATGCCTAACTCACTCACTTACTCATGCGACCGCCTCCGTGGTGTAGTGGTTAGAGCGTCCACCCGGAGAGCGGAAGGTCGCGGGTTCGATCCCCGACCGCGTCATACCAAAAGACGTTAAAATATGGTACTTGTTGGTCCCTGCCTGGTGCTCGGCATTAATGGGTACAACAAGGACTGGTCGGCTCGTAGTCAGTATAATGTGTGTGAGTGGGGTATTCATGCTTCAATGCAGCATGGTATCTCAGTGGGCTAGCACTATAAAACCAGCTTAAGTCTGGGCTAGTACAAGCAGCCGCATACACATACACACGCATGCACGCCGTCATATAAAGCCGAAATATTCTCAAGCACAACGTTAAACCCAATTTCACCTCACTTACTCATGCTGAAGGGGCTGTTGTCAGCACAGGTACTACAGACATGTACCTCAGGTGTGTTTCTGTGTACAGATATGTACCCTAAACAAAGTCAAACTACAGAAACGTATCCAGCACCCTAAACAAAGGGACAAGTCCATATTCCCAAAACCGAAACCATTTGTAGTTGTTCCCGTTCAGATGATTGCAACTGCAAGTGGTCTTGTGCATAGCAAAATGTTTATAATTGTGTATGCTCTTTCATTGTTTTATAACACAATCAATTGCATCTGATACAACAGTATGACATTTCCGATAAAGAAAATGGTCCAATGCAGAATGGTCCCATCCTAGTGTAATGCTTCTGTATTTTGATTTTGGCTAGGGTACATTTCTGTGCCACCCATTTCTGAGTTACGCGTGCCAACAACAACCCCTTCAGCTTTACTCATATGCATACTAAACTAACAGGAAATATATGACGTATTTTCAGGCGATACATTTCCAACGAAACACTGTTCAAGGAGCTAGTAGCCAAGGCAGACAGTCTGTCACATCGGGTGTGGGCACTGGGAGGTAATGCCCCAGTCATGGCTAACAGATTAGCTAGAGAAGGATTGGATGTACTGCTTGGAGCGAGACTTACTCCCAACATGGCAAAAGCACTTGATTCAAGTATTAAAGGTTGGACTCCTTATATTGTTTATGTTTCTGTTTTGCCATAATTTATGCTATTCATCATGTTCATTGTTACAAGTGGCCAGAAACCTAGGATGTGGGTTTGAATCCCAGTTCAAACTGATTATTTTTATAGGTTTGTAAACACTATGCCCACACTTCTAGTTTTCGGGGAGGTGGGGTAGCCTAGTGGTTAAGGCGTTGGCTTGTCATGCCGAAGGCCCGGGTTTGATTCCCCATGTGGGTACAATGTGTGAAGCCCATTTCTGATGTTTCCCGCCGTGACATTGCTGGAATATTTGCTAAATGTGGCGTAAAACCCAACTCACTCACTTCTAGGTTTCACCAAAGTTATAACATAATAATAATGTGTGTACCTATACTGCGCTAACTTCCATGACATTATTACTAGTGCTGGGAGTTGGTCAAAATCTCATAATTGATGATTGGTTCATTACAACCGATCAATCATCAAAAATAATTTGTTAGCGTCATTTATTAAATTTTCCTGATTATTTTTATTAATGGACAAAAAATAAAGAAAAAACCCTGTAGTTCTTTGGCAAATTTCACATCTTTAAAGGATGACTAGTAGGTTAGGAACACTAATTTCTTGGAGTCTTGAAGATAAATTCAACCATGACTTGGAACGAGCTTGTAGTACTCATGAAATGTAACTGACAAAACCAACCTTATGAAAAATATTGTTAATGCAAAAACGTGTTCCAGAATTGTTTGCGTTCGATTATGAGAAAACATGATCGATTACTTGGTCGCTTAGTCACTGCGACCAATCTTGATTATTTCAATTAGTCGGACCACCACTAATTATTACCCTGGTCAGTGGATCAGTGTGCACCTTTCGACAACCCAAGTTGTAACAAAATGTAAAGCACATGAAGATTAACAATCAAATGACCATGTCATCCCTCCGGTACCCATTTACTGCTGGGTGAACAGAGGCAATTCACCATTCACCTGATGAGGAGTAAGAATATACTTCGAAACGTTGTGTCCATTACTATAAAGAAGTTAACATCCATGGAATTCTTGCCCTGACTGATGTGATGCTCTTTCAGTGACGGGAAGGAAACCTGCGTCGGGAGGATCCATCTCCTTATGGAATATAAGGCAGGGACCCGCACGTGGGGACAGTACACAGCACCATGGGCCAACAGGTAACAGTGCTCACATTCACAATTCTTTAGATTGTCTTTACACATGCAGTGTATCAGATTCAGTTATGTGTATTAGCTAATGTCAGTGAAACCTTCTCAAAATTATTGTTTGGTGCAGAGTACAGTGGATAAAGCAGACAGTCATTTCAACCAGAGGAAGTTAGACTTATTGAGCTGGAAATATTTCCAACTTTGATCTTGGTGAAAGAATATTTTCAAATCCCAGCACAGGACTTCGAAATTTGATGGGCTACATTAGCAAAAACGTCTTGACTATGAGAGTAATGTACCTGGGGCCTCATTCACCAAGTGAGAGTAATGTACCTGGGCCTCATTCACCAAGTGAGAGTAATGTACCTGGGCCTCATTCACCAAGTGAGAGTAATGTACCTGGGCCTCATTCACCAAGGAGAGGTAATGTACCTGGGGCCTCATTCACCAAGTGAGAGTAATGTACCTGGGCCTCATTCACCAAGTGAGAGTAATGTACCTGGGCCTCCCATTCACCAAGTGAGAGTAGCGCACCAGGGCCTCATTCACCAAGTGAGAGTAATGTACCAGGGCCTCATTCACCAAGTGAGAGTAATGTACCTGGGCCTCATTCACCAAGTGAGAGTAATGTACCTGGAGCCTCATTCACCAAGTGAGAGTAATGTACCTGGGCCTCATTCACCAAGAGTGAGTAATGTACCTGGGCCTCATTCACCCAAGTGAGAGTAATGTACCAGGGCCTCATTCACCAAGTGAGAGTAATGTACCTGGGCCTCATTCACCAAAGTGAGAGTAATGTACCTGGGCCTCATTCACCAAGTGAGAGTAATGTACCTGGGCCTCATTCACCAAGTGAGGAGTAACGCACCAGGGCCTCATTCACACCAAGTGAGAGTAATGTACCAGGGCCTCATTCACCAAGTGAGAGTAATGTACCAGGGCCTCATTCACCAAGTGAGAGTAATGTACCTGGGCCTCCCCTCATTCACCAAGTGAGAGTAATGTACCTGGGCCTCATTCACCAAGTGAGAGTAAAGTACCTGGGCCTCATTCACCAGAGTGAGAGTAATGTACCTGGGCCTCATTCACCAAGTGAGAGTAATGTACCAGGGCCTCATTCACCAAGTGAGAGTAATGTACCTGGGCCTCATTCACGAACTGGCGTAATGCTACAACTATTGTAAATCCTATGTAACACAGCCTTAAAACATCATAGACTGACTAAAGGTTTGGTTTTACGCTTTTTAGCAATATTCCAGCAACATCCGGTGTATGGGGACACAGAAATGGGCCACAATGTACCCAAAACATCATAGAACTAAGATAAGATATAACTTTATTATCCCCGAGGAAATCCTTTTTGTATCAAAAACGGCCTCAAAATGAATATATACAAAATTCACAAAAATATACACAATAATTACATGCACGAAATGAATGCTGAAAGTTCCATACAATTAACCACATAGGTAGAGGCTAGTTATCACATGCATGATGACTACTGGTATTCAAAAACATTTGTTGCATTAATAACACGAATACTGGATGGTATGAAGGACTGTCAAGCTCTGTTTGTTTTAAGCGAAGGTAATCGAAAGTGGCGTCCAGATGGAAGTAGTTGAAAAGGATGAGATAAAATATGTGAACTATCAATTCTAATTTTCGTTGCCTTTTTGACAATCTGGCGCTCATAAATGAAGGAAATATACTCGAAAGACACTTCAGTAAGTTTGCTGGCAGTAGGAACAATTTTGAAAAGTTTGTTTGTTGTGAGCAGACAGACCCCCATACCAACATATAAAATTGTAGGTCACCACACTTTGAATAAAGTGTCTACAGTCGCTTTGTGAAAGGGACCCCAGACAGATACAGAGAATGAGTAATTTATAGAAAATCCAGCAAAGCCAGTTTGAGCTACCAACAGAACACCTGTTCAGAATTAGCCTTATACTAATGATAGATCTTGAACATATAGAAACAAAATACATTGTTTTAAAATGATTCACTGCAACGTGTTTCACATTTTTCAGTCTATTGAAACGTGAGAAATGTGAATGTAACTTTATGATGACTATATTACATCTGAACCAAGGTTTGCTAGGAATATAATAATTGTGGAAACTCCCCTGATTTAAAGCACTGAGAACAGTGTTCTGTTTCATCAATTTCATCACAGTGTGCTGCTCTCACAAGCTGCCTTTGTTTTGTTTGAATTCCTTTCCTTGTCTCCTGACTAATGTGGTGTTGATGACAAGTGTACAGCCTGTCACAGTGAGAGGGTTCGTCTCAAGATTGTTATAGCTTATATTTTGTGACATGGCTCAGTGTTTTGCTGGAGCAAGAAATCAACTGTCAGTCAGATTGCTTCAGTGTTGTAATGATAAAAGATGTATCTTCTATCAATCGCCAAGTTTTAGTGGTATTCTCAAAAGCAGAAGTGTTTAGCTTTTGTGATCATTGAGTTTGAAACCAGTAGGTGTAACTCATGAATGAGGTGGTTTGAAAATGAAAGCAGAGAACTAGGTCAATATAGTTATCTTGCTATGCTTTTGTGCAAGCATGGGTGTGCCCCACTTGCACAAATAGGGATCTGTGCTGTTGTTTGGCTTACTATCATTAGTATCATCACATTTACATTTTTGAAAGCAAAGATGTTTAACAGGAGTGTGTCCACGTGTTATTCAGTATTTAAGATGTGCTACTACTTATACCAGCCCTTTATTCCCTGGGCATGGCAGGACTATATGTTGCTTGTTATATTTGTTACGTTTACATTAAATATGAGTTTTCTTCTCTGCGTTAACCAGTCCCAATCAAAATTTAATCCAGTAAACTGTTTTATCCTTCTTTAGAAGTTATGGTTGATTGCACAATGCCATTTAGAAAGTGTTCAAATGTAACATATGTTATATTTGTGATTGCACTTTCTTAACCCCAAAAGTACTAGAATCTGTACTTTACTGAAAAAGTGTAATCCCAAATATAACATATGTTACATTTGACCACTTTATAAATGGCATTGTGTAATCATAAATTTTGGCCGTGCCAAATTTACACTTATCAGAGGCGTACACAAAGTCTGCAGTCTAGACTATCAGTTGTCTAGCTTCCATTTTTGTGGAAGTTGCAGTAGCTGAGCGGGTTAGGCGGCTGACTTTGTGTGCTGGCGATTTGGTGCCTGACTCTGAGGGTGTGGATTCGAATCCCGGATGGGACTCAACCCAAAAAGCACTAGAATCTGTGCTTTATTAAGAAAGTGTAATCCCAAATATAACATATATTTAGCAGTTGGAGAGTCAGATGTGGACAAACTTCATGCATGAACAACTTCTTTATGCAGGTGATGTGACGTTTCGATACAGATTCTTGTATCTATTGGTACTTGCTTGACAATGATTCAAGAATCTGTATTGAAACATTGCATCACCTGAATAAAGAAGTTGTTCATCCATTAAGTTTGTCCTTACCAGTATTATCCTGTTTGTGTTTACTTGTTTCGTGTCAAGATTAGAAGTGTAGGTAAAAGGTAATTCTAGTTGGGTAGCCTAGTGGTTCAAGTTTTCACTCATCACATCTAAGACCCAGGTTCGATTCCCCACATGGGTACAAAGGGTGAAGCCCATTCAAGTGTCCCCTGCCATGATTTGCTGAAATATTGCTAAAAGCAGCATAAAACTATACTCATTCAGCCACTATGTGTGCCAGGGTTATTTCTTGATGTTTATGAATATACAGAGAGCCAGTCACTGAGTCAGTTACCAATGTTAATTGTATGCCTGCAGGGAAATGATACTATTACAGTCAGTAAATCATCCAAACAGCCAATCATGGCGGTGATGTATTCATAGAAGTAAGTGAAGCTGTACAAGCTGTTGAAGTCATGATATCGGTCATGACAAAAATGAAAATTGATATGAATTTATTGTCTGACGCAACAGCAGTGCAGGCAATATTTGCTGAGCTATTACTTTGCATGAGTTGTTTAGAAAATGTCATTTCAAATTTCCTATTTTTTCATCTATATTGTGATTATGCTGCTAAATACCACGCATCTATCATCACTGTTTCATATTTGTGGAGATTCGGGGACTTGATAAGTTGATTCTTGCCACTGAAGCACGTATATTCGTAGTGAATGAGATCTATATGATTTATCATTATAAGTCTGTTTGTATGTAAATGTAAGCATTGCATTTCAGTTCTAAATACTGTATTTCCATGCAAAAGGGATTAAATATTAACATTTTAATTAATTTCATCTCATAACTGTTACATGTTGAGGATGCTGAAACTAAAACACATTGCAGTTCAAGTTGTTGACAAATCTGTACCAACCCTGGGTTAGGTTACTGTTTAAACACTTGAATATGGAGTGTGAATATGCTTTTACATAACTATCAACATTATTTTAGTGATAGTAAGGGACATCTGACTTCACACATTGTACTCATGTTGAAATTAAACCCAGAACTTTGGTGTGATGAGTGAACACTTGAACCACTAGGCTACCTCATCACTTGTATACAGGTATTTGTTGGTTTCCTCTTCGTGGTTCTGTTCGTGTACTAGTGTACAGATGTACTAGTGTACAGATGTACTAGTTTGTAGCGGCAGTAATTGGACATGTAACACCTGCTTTCTGCCTGTATTGATTACCTGAATCAGGGATATTTGCCTTCTTTATGCTTGTGGTGGATGTTTACTTGAGATAATCAATGTGGCTTTCATTTCCTTTGTCATGCTATGAGTTGTGACACATGGCAACTTTGAAATTAAGTTGTGAATCAGTGATAATTGCCATCTTTATGCTTGTGATGGATGTTTTATAAAAATAATGCATGTGATTTTCCTTTTTCATCCTATGAGTTGTGACATGAAATAATAACAATGGCAACAAATAACATCTGATGATTAACATTGCCATGTCTGTCTATCCATTATCCATTTTTATCGACAATGATAAAGAAGTAATTATGTGTTTATAAGAATCATCTTCAGTACTGTACTGACTGAGTATGGTTTTACGCCACTTTCAGCAATATTGCAGCAATATCATGGCTTTACGCCACTTTCAGCAATATTGCAGCAATATCATGGTTTTACGCCACTTTCAGCAAGATTCCAGCAATATCATGGTTTTACGCCACTTTCAGCAATATTCCAGCAATATCATGGTTTTATGCCACTTTCAGCAAAATTCCAGCAATATCATGGTTTTACGCCACTTTCAGCAATATTCCAGCAATATCATGGTGGAAGACACCAGAAATGGTCTTAACACATTGTGTCCATGTGGGGAATCGAACACGGGCCTTCAGGATACAAGCAAACGCTTTAACCACCAGGCTACCCCACCACCCCTTCAGTAGGATAGTCAAGTGATTTAAGTGTTCATTTGTCACAGTGAAGGTCATTTTTTTCCATAAATGGATGCTGGGACATTATGAAGCCCATTTCTTGTGTACCTCAGTACAACAATGATGGAATATCGCTAAACATCATTACATGATAAATAATGTTTCTGTCATACTCACCCTTCGAATGCAAAAAGCAGTGTGTGAATATCTTTGACAGGCTTGTAACTCTACAATTGTTCAGGTATCATGGGATAGTTTTTAGATATTTTGTTGCAGAAAAGGCAAATACATATCAATTTTACCCCAGGTTTCAATGTGTTGTTCTCTTGAATGACTGAACAAGGGCATATCCTGGACTAACACTTAGTCTCTGAACATATATAGTTTTGATACAAAAAGCTTATAATATATAATACGGGAACTTTGAGATAGTCTTGCTTTTCGTGAAACACTGTGACTTAAATATGTAACACTTGTAACATCACATGTACAACTGAGTTCTCTCTTTCAGACTGATCGTACACAGTGACTCGTTGAACCCCTTTCTAGATTCTCTGGAGGAGTTTCAGGAACAGCTCAAAACATACAATGCCGACCTGCTGATTGTCGGTGGGCTCCAAATGATGGACAACTTCCCGTTTAAAGATGGTTAGTTGTGATTAGAAGTTAAATAAACTTTTTTTGTTATTGTGTGAGTATTTGTAAGTAATTATTACCTGACTACTGGTGTCAGAGTCTCAGGAATGGAGTTGTCACTCAAATAGGGTGAGTCTGCTTCCAGAATTGAAGGATCTGAGTTATTTCTCCAACTTAAACTTTGCTATTGTTCTTGTAAGATTTCTCCATAATGCTGCATGATGACAGATAGTTGATTGAGTTTTACCAGTGTAGCATATTGCATGTACGTGAAAGGTGTCCCCTGCACAAGCGACTACCTGAGAGAGGGTCACTTATTGGCATGACTGCTTGCCCTTGGACAACAGATTTCTGCATGAAGCCCAAAAAATATGCCTACGAGTGTTATTTATTAAAATAATAAAACAAAATTGAGTAAGTCATTGATCGTCATGCCAGTTATAGGATAACATCAAAGAGAATGTTTACTTGCTAATCAGAATTGCCTGTGAATTCCTGGCTCCGAATCAACTGCAACAAGAATAAGCGACATCGTCATGATGGTTTAGTCATGGTTAATATTCAGTGGTCAAGAGACTACAAGGTTTCATTGTACACATGACTCCACCAAATATAAACTCAGACAGAAATTTGTTTTGGCACGTTTTCAGAATTGAAAATCTGTTTGTTAGATATACACTATGTTAATGTTTTCTGTGTTGTTCACTATTACAGGAAAAAGACAAGAAAGAGTGAAGAAATTAGAATCAACTCTTGCAAACGTTCCTCAAAAGACCCAGATTCATTTTGAGCTGGCATCCTTCACAGACAAAAGCCTCATGGAGGAGATATATGAAAGTGTGGTCCTCTACTCAGACTCACTCGGGATGAACGAACAGGAACTGCCGAACCTCGTGAGTATGATGACAGGTGGGAACGTCACGCTTCTCTCTGACAGCCATCCCAGAATAGCAACATCCCTCGACCAGATGAGGTTGGTCTACAACATCCTGAAAAACACCAAAGAGACCGGGGGACGAAGAAAACTAACACGCATCCACTTACATACTCTTGCCTACCAAGCAATCCTTACGAAAAAAGGCACAGCATGGAAAAACACAATGTCTGCTGCGGCCAAGGCTGCCCTCACTGCTCATCGCCATGTCTGCGGGTCTCAGTATATTCATGTGGAGAAAGCCAAGTTGATAGTGGATGATTCATTTTCATCCAGTAAAAGTGATCCCAAGCCACAAAGGATCCCCATCAAGGATAATCGTCCAGTCACCTGTTGGGACGAGGAGGACTATGAGATCTGCATTGCGCCGGTGCTGGTGTGCACGCAGGTGTTGCAGACAGGGGGTGGCGGGACAACGCCTCATCAGCTGGTCTGGTTCTGCAGCTGTGTAGAGAGAACCCTTCCTTATCCTAACCACCATACTTACATTGCAATAATTTACCATAACACTTTGCTATTATGTGCCCACCTGTTCCCAAGTGCTTACATGTGATTGCCAAATGAAGTAAGACAATAACCAAAATATAAAACTTTAATAAGATTTATAAAATTATGAAAGTGAGCATTAGTAAATGAATATGTTCATTCATAATTATATTCAAAACAATTTTAGTTAACCAAAAGCGTATATGTGTTATATTTCATATCTGTTTTAATCAAAACAATTTCTTCAAAATGACCATTATGAACCATTCCTTGTTTGTGAACTATGTATAGTAAGGAGATGTGTTGTTGATTAATATTGTCTTTGTATAGATCATTTCTAGAGGTGCTAGCTTTCAGATCTAATTATGATACATATCCAGCCATGCTTTATGACACTGTTATGAAATCCACTGATGTTTTAATGCAAAATGTTCACCACAGCTCCTTATTTTCCAATATTCCGAACTTTCATTTGTCATGCAGCAACATCGACGTGTGGTATTGGTTTATTTATGAATGTGGAAGATACCCTGGATACCTGGTGGGAGGTATTAGAACATACTACATTCCTGAAGACTGTCACAAGGACGGTGGAGATGCAGAGGAAGCGACTGAAATAGTAGTCAAATAATCAGTTATGGAATACTTACAAATGTTGTATAAAATACAGCATTGATTTTGGTTCACTATGCATGTATTTCAATATTAGCATGGCACCTTTCATCAGAAAATAACTGGATATGTTGTTACAAAAATGCTAAATTCATAATGAGATATATATCATACAGTGCTTGATATATATCAGGTGGACATATGTATTTCATTTTGATGAATGTTGAAACATGTTGTAGAATGAATCCTGAATATTGTGTCAGAAACTGATAAGTCAAGTAGGGGCAGTCTTAAGGGTCAAGTAGGGTTTCAGTTTAAACTTGGCTCTGAGTATACAAATTAGATAAATGTGCATCACAGCCAATAGTTAACTTCAGTACAAGAGCTACTGTATGTTATGTTGTGCTAGTTAACTTGTTATAGGGATGATATAAAAGGCTGTTGTGTGTTAGTTGTGCAGTGTGGAGCAGGTGCTTGATCTGGTAGTCGAGTGTAACACAGATAACATGATAATGACATTTGTGGGGCTGTATTATAGCTGCTGTTTGTTGCTGGTAATATATCCTGTGATGTGAGCAGGTTCCTGATCTACTACACATCTAGTGTAACGCTGATAATTACATGGTGATAACATTTATTGGCTTGTATAGCATCTACTGTTTGTTGGCATGCAAAGCATTTTCACAGTGATAAACAGGGCAACATTAAAGAGAACATGTACTGTCAGTATATTGCTGAAAACGATGTATTGACATATTTATAATTCCATGTCGGTTATTATCTGACTACCATTTCAGTGTTATATTTGAATTGCGAAAATTGAATGTGTGAAAATACAGGAGCTGTGCTTAACTTTTAACAGGTTTTTATTATCTCTGTTAGCTTTAACATATAGAACATCCCATGCACTGGAATAGGCATTAGTTTGGACTTAATTTCATTTCAAAGTTTATTCATCTGTATTTTCATTAAAATCAAATCTTTATGAACACTACCGCTATACCATTGATGTGCTTATGACAGATCACTTTTATCAGTACTTTGTGTAGTGGTTGAGAGCACTAAGATCTGATTTTGATTTTCCTATCAGTCTCATTGAAATCAGATCTTAGCACTACCGCCACATTGAAGTTTGTTTATTGCAGATCAACTTTATAAGTACTTGCAGGGGCAGATCCAGGAGAAAGTGCGGTTCACATAAATCACGAAGTCCAAACTTTAGGGGGAAATGCTCCTTAGGGAAAGGTTTTTCTTGTTTTTACTTTTTTTCTATTATGTTATTTTGGGGTGGGGTGGGGGTGGAAGAGATCCCCTGGATCCACCCCTGCTTTGTGTAGTGGTTGTGACCACCAAGATCTGATGTTAATGAGTGTGATTCATAAAGTGCCTGTGCTCAATGCATTTCACTTTGAATGAGAGATATCTTGTATTAGTGTCAGACATATTTACAGTATTTAGCAGTTTACCTGCATCTCAAGATTGTCTCTGACGGACATGGAATATACAATTTGTTTTGGACTTCTTTAGAGGTAACAGTATTTGAATGTTATTTACTCATCTTTATACTACTCGTAAGTGTTATTTAACCAAAGAAATCACTTTTGATTTTCCAAACTGTGTTCTGTTACTTTTTTCAGTAAAATGTATTTGAAGTTTTTTTCATTACACAGCGCTGCTTTTTTAATGTTGATTCTTTGAATGAAATTTGGAATAATTTGAGCTTGTTTCATTCTTACCAAAACAGACCAGTCTTCTTCAATTCCAAAATTTATTATATTTCCTCAGCACTGCTTGTTTGTTTTTATCGAACTTATATTAATCTTTTTGTCAACAAAGACAAGGAGAGCTGAGATCAGTGTTAGGTTAGCTATAATTGTGACATGTGGACTGAAATGTATACCATATATTGCCATCTAACGTGACCCTTAAAGTGAGTGAGTGAGTGAGTTTAGTTTTACGCCGCACTCAGCAATATTCCAGCTATATGGCGGCGGTCTGTAAATAATCGAGTCTGATCAACAGCATGAGCATCGTACTGCGCATTTGGGATACGATGACATGTGTCAACCAAGTCAGTGAGCCTGACCACTTGATCCCGTTAGTCGCCTCTTACGACAAGCATAGTCACATTTTGTGGCAAGCATGGGTTGCTGAAGACCTATTCTACCCCGGATCTTCATGGGCCTGACCCTTAAAAGTCCTTGCAGGTCCTAATCTGCTCTTACTAGATGTAAAATCCTGATTTTAGCAGGTTGTTTTGCACTTATCTCTTTTTTCTTGAATGCAAACATATTAATAACTATAAGAGTATCCACTACTCATTATAAGCACCTGTAATCATGCACTGGTAGAGAGATGGACTAAAACCAACATCAAAATATTTATATCAAATCTTCTCAACACTGATATTGTCATTTGGGAAAGGTTAAACACACTTTGTGTTTTAACAGTTCACCATGTTTTAGAAATCAAATTTTATTATGTTGATTTTGAAATACTTTAGAGAAATTATTTTGCTTTCTTTACTGTTGGTTGATTGATATTCTGTGATTGGGTGATTGGCAGCTTACATGTTTTGGCAACCTGTGTTTGTGTTGATTTGTTGTGAATTTTGATAGTACCTTATTACTGTGATAACCAGCTCAATAATGTTCAATAAACATTAATATGATAAGTTATATCTGTTGTTATTTGGTCAGTGTGTATTGCAGTGACAGCAGTAATTCTGGGATTAAATTATGTTGAACATTGTGGTGAATTGATGATCAGTTATGTAAGAGAATTGTTCTTATTTTTGAGTGAGTGTGTGAGCTGGGTTTAACACAGCTTGTATTGCTATTCCAGTTGAAGCACGCATCAGTCTGATGTGGGATGAGAGCCCGAACTGATGCATCCTCGATAATCTCCAGGGTATACGTTCCGATAAATCTCCATTAGTCCTTGATAATCTCCAGGGTATACGTTCCGATAAATCTCCATTAGTCCTCGATAATCCCCAGGGTATACGTTCCGATAAATCTCCATTAGTCCTCGATAATCCCCAGGGTATACGTTCCGATAAATCTCCATTAGTCCTCAATAATCCCCAGGGTATACGTTCCGATAACTCTCCATTAGTCCTCGATAATCTCCAGGGTATACGTTCCGATAAAGCTCCATTAGTTCTCGATAATCTCCAGGGTATACATTCTGATAAATCTCCACTAGTCCTCGATAATCTCCAGGGTACGTTCCGATAAATCTCCACTAGTTGTGGCGATTTATTTAAATGCATACCCTGGAGATTATTAAGGATGGAACTGATACAGGTTTCAAATTTTTGCCCCTTGGTAAAACCCACAATCACAGGTATGGTGCTGACAATCCAAGAAGTATAATCATTTCAAACCTGGATTTGATCCGACATCACGTTTATGGTGTGCCAAGGGACACAACTCAAATTGAGGCACCTTCAAGGACTTGGCTGCCCTTGTCACTTCCATATTTGTACAGTACACTTTCATCGTAGATATTTTCACAGTCCCACACAGGGAGAGTAAACATTCAATAAGCATCATATCTAATCGGTGGCAATTCCATGTTAGTACAGTGGATGACATCAATCAATATGGATAATATCAGATCAGCTACTGACTTTGGATCAGATCTGTTGATGACATCAGATCAGTGGATGACCTTGGATCAGTGGATGACCTTGAAACAGTGAATGGCATCATATCAGTGGGTGACCTTGGAACAAAGAGACATCAAATCAGTGGGTGACCTTGGAAGAGAGATGACATCAAATCAGTGGGTGACCTTGGAACTGTGGATGACATCAAATCAGTGGATGACATTGAAACAGAATGACATCAAATCAGTGGGTGACCTTGGAACAGTGGATGACATCAAAACAGTGGGTGACCTTGGATCAGTGGATGACCTTGAAACAGTGAATGGCATCATATCAGTGGATGACCTTAGAAAACAAATGACATCAAATCAGTGGGTGACCTTGGAACTGTGGATGACATCAAAACAGTGGGTGACCTTGGAACAGTGGATGACATCAAGAACAGTGGATGACATTGAAACAGTGAATGACATCAAATCAGTGGGTGACCTTGGAACAGTGTATGATATCAAATCAGTGGATGACCTTGGGAAAGTGGATGACATCAAAACAGTGGGTGACCTTGGATCAGTGAATGACATCAAATCAGTGGATGACATCAAAACAGTGGATGACCTTGGAACAGTGGATGACATCAAATCAGTGTATGACATCAAAACAGTTGATGACCTTGGAACAGTGGATGGCATCAAATCAGTGGATGACCTTGGAACAGTGGATGACGTCAAATCAGTGGATGACCTTGGAAACAGTGAATGACATC